ATTAAATGTATTGTGTAATAAAAATTGTAAATAAATACTCCAACTTGGAGTTGTAAAATGTGAGAATAAAGTGGTGTTATAAATGTTTTTTTTTAAAAGTTAGATTGGAAAGAAGAAAAAAAAAGAGACAAATTAGAAAAGATTAGAAATGTATATTATGGAGATATGAAAATATTATGTAAGATAGAAAAATGAGGAAAACAATTAAATTTAAAAATAGATGCCAAATGTACTAATATTATGAGAATTTTTTTAAAATGTACTAATATTTTGTGTAAATGTATTGTGTAGTAAAAATTGTAAATAAATACTCCAACTTGGAGTTGTAAAATGTGAGAATAAAGTGGTGTTATATATATATTTTTTTTTAAAGTTATATTGGAAAGAAGAAAAAAAAAAAGAGACAAATTAGAAAAGATTAGAAATGTATATTATGGAGATATGAAAATATTATGTAAGATAGAAAAATGAGGAAAACAATTAAATTTAAAAATAGATGCCAAATGTACTAATATTATGAGAAGTTTTAAAAATGTTCTAATATTTTGTGAAGTTAAAATTTAACTGATCCATAATTTTGAATCAGATGAATAAGTGGTGATTAAGTAGAGAATAATTTTGGCAAAACAAATTAGACACAAATTTCAATTTAAATACATGTCAAATGTATCACTAGGATAAGAGAAATATCTTTTTGGAATTAAATTGTAGGTACAAACTTTCAAAACTAAAGATTTTAAATAAATTAAAACAAACATTAATGAAATGAAAGAGGACACATGTCACCAAAAGAGAGTGCCAAATGTCGCAATGGTAGAAAAAGTTAGAAGAAAACCTTCTCATATTATATAAGATATATAAGATACATGTAAGAATCAAATTTTCAAGTCTAAAAACTCCTATTTGATATAACTAGCATAAACCTAATAAAACTGGAATTTTACTATTTGAAAAATTCTACAATTTTACTAAAGCGACCAACTTAAACCAGCATTGTAGCTGGTTTCAAATCAAAAAGCAAACGAAATTTGATTTCAATTCATTTTTTCATATCTTCTAATAACAGAAAAAAAACTAAAGCCAAATCAAACCGAATTTGTATTAAAAAAAAATCGTATAAACCGAATACCCATTGTTAGAGAAAAAATCGAACAGAACCGTATAATAGCTTGTGAATACTCCATCAAAGGAATTAGTGTTCATGATCCTAGAGAATATTTGCTTCGAATTCACTAGTTAAAGCTACTTATGATTGGTCCCAAAAAGCCAAAAAGGGACTAGACATAGAACAACGTCGTTGACGTACACATGATCTCGTGTAGTACATAAAGTTGGTGTTTCGCTGCAGTACAGTACACACGAACACGGAACACCGATCTTTAGTACATTACACAAACTTAGATTATTCTAAAATTCCAACTAAGAATTGTCTAACAATGTTGTTTTTAAATTTTAATTACTATCACATGAAAACCAAAGAAAATTTTAGTTGCATTAGTTATAATTTTAAATACGAAAATAAACTCGGAACCTCAAGATATACTATTCTAGTACGGTTTGTAAGTAGTACGCAGTAGTACAAACAACAAGCATTGTACTGCTTTTAAACCAACACAAGCATTGCAATGTCAGCTACTCCAAGTATAAAATCATGTTTGTGTTCATTTCTAAGATGATAGAAAAGAGCATGAAGATATTTTTTCCTGGATTTGAATGAACATCATTGAGTGCAGCGTTGATGTAATTTCCTTTTTTTTTCATTGTTGAATGGAATTAAAAGAATTTACACCGGCGTTGCGCTCAATTATGTTTTTCTTATTTTCAGGACACTTAAACAGGTATGTATGATCGTTTTGCTCGGTTAAGTTTTTTTATTTATCTTCTACCGAGTTATGTAATTTAGAAGAAATTATAAGAAGGTAAGGGTTGACACGAAATCAATATCTTGAAATTTTGTGATATTTGTGATCCGTTTCATTTAGTCTAAGATTGATACACTTTTTCGATATATATATTTGTTTTGGAACTAAAATAAATGCCGATATAAATACAAACATATAATTAGGACTAAATATAGTATCCTACTTTTATTTTATTATCTTCTATTTAGGTCTTTTTTTTATTTATTTATTGGTTTTACATATTTATTTATTTTCAGTGATTTTACGTATGAAAGCAAATTAACCTCCAATGTAACTAAAGCGAGCCACTGGTTTTGGAGTGATTAGAACTCAAAAGGCATTCTTCTTACCAATAAGCCATAACCAATCCAAAGCAACTCCCGCAAATATCCCTCCTAACAGAAATATCACCAGCAAGTTCCCTAACGCATTCTGCTCCGGACCCTTCACCAAATTAAAACCCAAGTTTTTTTTTGGTTACACTATTAGAACAAATGTGAGACTACTTGTCTTAACCGCAAAGATTGTAATCGTTTGTATTTGCGTTTATATATTCAAACTTACGTGGTTTATCTTTCTTAAAAATAAACAATCAAATCTGACATATCTATTTAGGAAAAGGAGAAAATAGATTACCTTGTATCCTTTAGGAGCTATAGTCATAATGCAAACAGTGAGATGTCCATTAGTTAATCCCAAAGCGGAAACGAGCATAATCATCCATCCTTGATCACCATATTTTGCAGTGAAGTAGAACGCCGGAATGAGGAGATAACGTGACAAAACCGCACTTGTGATTAATTTTCTATTCTCAATCTTGAGCCATTTCACCAGCGGCGTGTACCTCCCGACCAAATCCCAAAAGTTGTACATAGCTACTAAGACAAGTGCATACCAAGCGCCTAGCCCGTGATGTCCTGTGTTTTCATACAAGAACCCGGGGAAAATAGATAATGTACAAACGTAGATGAGGAATAAATTTACTGCATAGTCTATGTTTTGAATCAACAGCTCCTTTTTGCTTAGCCTTTGATTCTTGGAATCATCATCAGTCTGCATAGAAGAACCAAGAGGCTAAAGAATGTTTAGGGGTGAAGAATCTTAAGAAAAACAAAAAATCAAGAAAGATAGATTCTTGAGGAATATGAAGTTACCAAGCCTGATTGATTTTGGATACCAGCGGCAGCAAGATCAGCAGAAACAGTTTTGGATCCTTCAGAAGCGGCTTTTCTTCGGTAATACTTAACAATCGGGAGTTTCGGTAACACATAAGTGTATAGCATCACACAGAGTAAATCTATGAATGTGGAGATAGCTAAGAACATCACTGCATGAAAAAAAAACATATAAACACTTTGATGATTGGAGTTTCTATCGGTTAATTTGAAATCTTCAAAAATATTAACTCACTTGCTCCTTTACGTAGACCGTTGTTTGTTTTCTCAAAAGCTGCTTTAGTTATTAGCCTAAGTGCTGATGTTAGCGCACCAGCTACAGCTAAACCTCCCATGAATGACTACAAAGAAGTAGGAAGATGTTTATCTAGTAAATTCCGGTTAATCAAAAACCGGTTAGTCTAAAAGGATATCTTGAATCTTCTATAATGTACAAACCTGAACTAGTTCAGGGCACATCAATGATAAATCACCTATCATTCCTCCTTGAACGGTAGCATCCGCGAGGCCGAAAGAAGCAACGACTGCGCATAAACCGATATAAGGTCCGATTCCACCACGTCCTTTTGTTGCCGAATCCAACTGTTTATTTATTTATTTAAATTCTTGAGTCTATAATTAAAATCCATTTCCGTATGAAAGATTAATGTAAGATTAAGACTTGAATTAAGAAACTTACAACTATGAGTGAGAATGTGGATATTGTGTATAGAATGTAACCGATCAGGTTACGTTTTCGGGTACTGATTTTCGATTCGTGGTATGCGAGAATCACGATTGTTCCAAGCGCAAACGGTTGGTATACAAGTGTGAGTACCCTTGAAGGATGATAATCCTACAAGAAACGTAAAGAAGTTTTCAAGTTTTTGCTATCTAAAACACAACATTAGATAATCTGCTATAGTAATTTTCGAATCTGAGGATAGTCCGAACCGAAACCGAACCGGGAAAACTTGGTAGTAGTAATCTGCTATACTAAGCATACTGTTCCAAGAAACGAGAGATCCAATTCCAAGAATACAGTAAACAACCATTGCTTGATACTTCCCCTGTGTAATTTTTTATATTTTTATTTTTTCCAAATTCAGACATAAACAAGAAACTTTTGATTCAAAATTAAGAAAAACAATGAAAGATTTTTGGATCTGATTTTTGGGTTTTGTGGAAACTCACCTGAAGCTTCTCAGGAGCTTGGTGCTCGTATATATCCGCCATTTTAGAAATTGTTACAGAGAGCTCAAATGAACAATCCTATTTCAAGATTCAAGAATTGGATCAAACACAAGATGATGTTTTTTTGGTGTTGTTGTTGGTGGAACAAAAAGCTATAGATACTTACTTGGAACTTAGCACATGCATGAGGGTCTTGCAGAGTCAACGAGTTTGTTGATTATTTTACGAGTAACGCTATCATAAAGATTCAAAACAAGATTCTTAAAACAAGGAGATGAGCGAGTAAAATAAATGAGACTTTCTAAACGTTTGACAGCAAATATGAAAGGATATAATAATAAGACTCAAAAGAAAAAGAAACATAACCAAATAGATTAAAGCAAGACTCTCACATTGGTTCATAATCCAACACTCTATCTTTACCTTTTAACACTTCGTATCATCGTCTCTCTTTTCCACATCATAATTCAACACCTATCAATTTTTATTTTATTTTACAATGATTTTGTTTATTAAAATTCAACATATTTATATGGTTCGACATGTGTTGTTATTTGTTAAGGTTTGTTTTTCATTTTTTGTTCAGCTGCTTCTTTTTTTATCTACTAATTCTTCAATTCAAAAGCAAACGATTACAACTAATATAGGCACCATCAGATATACCCGATGTGCGAGACAATTAGCTAGAGCATTAGAGAAAACAACGATAGAAACAATATACACAAACTCATATGCTAATGCGTGAAAAGAATTGTCGAAACGACCAAATATGAGAAATATCGGAAAAGAGGCAACTCTCAATCCTACTCTTACAATCGACTTGAAGATAGTCACCATAACTTGTGACTTTATGACAGATGTTGCAAGAAAATGTGTATAGGAACAATCATTCTTTAACACCCAATATACATAGCAAATGTAATTAAACATCCTCTGCTTTTAAGAATAAGAAACCCTTACAGGTAACAAGCAAAGAATATGAAAGCAAATTAATTAACATCCAATTTAATTAAAATGAACCACTGGTTTTAGAGTGATTAGAACTCAGAAGGCATTCTTCTTACCAATAAGCCATAACCAATCCAAAGCAACTCCTGCAAATATCCCTCCTAACAGAAATATCACCAGCAAGTTCCCTAATGCATTCTGCTCCGGACCCTTCACCAAATCAAAACCCAAGTTTTTTGTTTGTTAAACTATTAAAACAAATGTGAGATTACTTGTCTTAAACGCAAAGATTATATTCGTTTGTATTTGCAAATTGTAAAACAAATAAATTACCTTATAGCCATTAGGAGCTGTAGTGAGAATGCAAACAGTGAGATGTCCATTAGTCAATCCCAAAACAGAAACAAGCATAATCATCCATCCTTGATCACCATATTTCGCAGTGAAGTAGAACGCCGGAATGAGTAGATAACGTGATAAAACTGCAATTGTGATCAGCTTTCTATTCTCAATCTTGAGCCATTTCACCAGCTGCGTGTACCTCCCTACCAAATCCCAGCAATTGTACATCGCTACTAAGACAAGTGCGTACCAAGCGCCCAGCCCGTGTTGTCCTGTATTTTCATACAAGAACCCGGGGAAAATGGATAATGTACAAACGTAGATGAGGAATAAATTCACTGCATAGTCTATGTTTTGTATCAACAACTCTTTGTTGCTTAGCCTTTGATTCTTGGAATCATCATCAGTCTGCATAGAAGAATCAAGAAGCTAAAGAATGTTTAGTGGTGAAGAATCTTTAAAAAAAAAAATCAAGAAAGATAGATTCTTGACAACAAAGGGAAGATTCTTGAGGAATCTGAAGTTACCAAGTCTGATTGATTTTGGATACCAGCAGCAGCAAGATCAGCAGAAACAGTTTTGGATCCTTCAGAAGCAGCTTTTCTTCGGTAATACTTAACAATGGGGAGTTTTGGGAACACATAAGCGTATAGCATCACGCAGAGAAATTCTATGAATGTGGAGATAGCTAAGAACATCACTACAGAAAGAAAAAAACTTATAAACACTTTGATGATTGGAATTTCTATCGGTTTTCAAAATTTGAAATCTTCAAAAATATTAACTCACTTGCTCCTTTACGTAGACCGTCGTTTTTTTTCTCAAAAGCTGCTTTCGTTATTAGCCTAAGTGCTGATGTTAGCGCACCAGCTACAGCCAAACCTCCCATGAATGACTACAAAGAAGTAGGAATATGTTTATCTAGTAAATTCCGGTTAAGCTAAACCGGTTAGTCTAAAAAGATATCTTGAATCTGCTAAAATGTATAAACCTGAACTAGTTCAGGGCACATCAATGATAAATCACCGATCATTCCTCCTTGAACGGTAGCATCCGCGAGGCCAAAAGAAGCAACGACTGCGCATAAACCAATATAAGGTCCGATTCCACCACGTCCTTTTGTTGCCAAATCCAACTGTTTTTTTATATATTTAAATTCTTGTTTAGATTCTTGAGTCCATAATCAAAATCCATTTCCATATGAAAGATTAATGTAAGAGTAAGACATGGAATTAAGAAACTTACAACTATGAGCAAGAATGTGGATATCGTGAATAGAATGTAACCAATCAGGTTACGTTTTCGGGTATTGATTTTCGATTCGTGGTATGCGAGAATCACGATAGTTCCAAGCGCAAACGGTTGGTATACAAGTGTAAGTACCCTTGAAGGATGATAATCCTACAAAAAACGTAAAAGTTTTCAACAACTAAAACACAACATCAGATTTCTATAACCAATTTGGAATCTTAGAATAGTCCGAACCGAAACCGAACCGGGAAAACTTGGTAATAGTAATCTGCTATAGTAAGCATACTGTTCCAAGAAACAAGAGATCCAATCCCAAGAATACAGCAAACAACCATTGCTTGATACTTCCCCTGTTTTTTCAAAGACAGACATAACCATGAATTTGTTTTGTTTTCAAATCAGAAAAACAATGAAAGATTTTTGGATCTGAGTTTTGGGTTTTAAAGAAACTCACCTGAAGCTTCTCAGGAGCTTGGTTCTCGTATCTATCCGCCATTTTCGAAATTGTTATAGAGAGCTCAAAAGAACATAAACCCTGTTTCAAGATTCAAGAATTGGATCAAACACAAGATGGTGTTTGGTTCTTTTTTTTTGCTGGGGAGCAAATTAAAGAGCTACAGAGATACTTACTTGAAACTTAGCACATGAGGGTTTTGCAGAGTCAACGAGTTTGTTGATTTTTTTTTTTTTTCTTCAACGAGTTTGTTGATTTATATTAGGGAAGAGCAAAGCTTTCATAAAGATTCAAAACAAGATTCTTAAAATAAGGAGTAAAAATAATAGACCTTTTGAAGGTTTGACAGCTAATATGAAAGGATAAAATAAGACTCAAAAGAAAAAGAAACATAACCAAAAAGATTAAAGAAATTAAAGAATTCAAAGTGTGAAAGCTTTTTCGTTTCTATTTTTAGTCAACTTGTAGGCGATTTAGTATGAAAGCAAAACTTTCTTTTAGAGCATCTCCAATGGTGAGAGCTCTCCATAGGCTCTCACCATTTTTTTAAGATTAAAATTTTCAAATTTATGAGATGAGAGCTTTTGTTAATTTTGCAACGTCCAATGGTAGGCTCTCTTTGTGGGGTTCTCAGGAAAAAATTAAATTATTTTTTTTAATTATTTTATTTCATAAATCTGAAAAATATTATAATTCATAACATATTAAAGATACAATAATTTCATACATTTGAAAATAAATTTGAAAAAAAAAAAATGATTAGTTATTCTGTTGATTGTTGCGAAATTTTCTCCATATATGCTCAACCAAATCACTTTTCAATTGTTGATGCATATTTTGATCACGAAGTTGATTTCGCATACCCATCATATTCTCGATATTTGGAGGCATACCTGTAGAATACGATAAATCGACTTGTGAAGTTTGGTTTCCTTCAACTTGTAGGAATTCTGAAACATCAAACTGAGTGTTGTACCCATCTCGTTCGTCTTCGACTATCATATTGTGCAGTATGATACATGCTTTCATAATATTTCTAATTTTTTCCTTATCCCAAACAAGTGCTGGGTTTTTAATAATGTGAAAGCGAGCTTGCAATACTCCAAATGCACGTTCGACATCTTTACGGGCCGCTTCTTGATGTGTAGCAAATAAAGTGTCTTTCCGAGTTTGTGGTAGTCGAATAGATTGGATAAAAGTCGACCATTTCGGATAAATACCATCTATGAGATAGTAAGCTAAATGATACTCCCGGCCATTGACTTTGTAATTCACATTCGGAGCTCGACCTTGTAATATATCATCAAAAATTGGTGATCGATCAAGAATATTTATATCGTTTAAGGTACCTAGAGGTCCAAAAAATGCGTGCCAAATCCAGAGATCTTGTGATGCGACCGCCTCTAAAACGATGGTTGGTTTTCCAGAGCCACGTGTATACTGGCCTTTCCAAGCGGTGGGACAATTCTTCCACTCCCAGTGCATACAATCGAGACTTCCTATCATCCCTGGAAATCCGCGTATCTTTCCAATATTGAGTAGTCTTCTCAGATCTGTGGCTGTAGGTGCTCTTAGATATTCATCTCCGAAGAAAGAAATAATTCCCTCTGTAAAATTCTTCAAGCAAGACATCGCAGTGCTTTCACCCATACGGAGGTATTCGTCAACCGCATCAGACGCATAACCATAAGCAAGCAAACGAATGGCTGCCGTACATTTTTGTATTGGAGAGTGTCCAAACCTTCCTGTGGCATCTCTTCGATGTTGAAAGAACGGGATTTCACTGGAGAGTCACTCAACAATACGCAAGAACAACGGCTTGTTCATTCGAAAACGGCGGCGAAAAGTTTGAGGTGGAAACATCGCATTATCACTAAAATAATCGTTCCATAAAAGGACGTGCCCTTCTTCGCGTTTTCTATCAAAATAAGCTCGTTTCCTATTTTTCTTTGCAACCTCTTCGCCATTAGACAATTCGACGAACATATTCTCGAATTGTTGATCAAGTGGTTGAGAGTAGCTTTCTTCCATGGCGTCGTCGAATGGAGTACGGGATGAAGAGGCCATATTGTTTGGTAGGTTTAAGTATTAAACAATATAGATATATATAAAAGCTTTGGTGATTGATTGTTTTGTGGTAAAAGCAAAGAAAAATTAAGGGAAAAATAATTTTTGTAGTTGAAGCAAAGAACAATATTAGAAAAGCTTGAGTTGTGAGACATCTACAAACGATGAATATTATTTATAGCAAAAGTAAAACATAAAGAATAAAGTTTGTGGTACACAAAGAATAAGCTCGTTTGTGGTACACAAAGAATAAGCTCGTTTGTGGTACAAATTTGCTAGAATAAAGTTCGTGGTTCACAAAAAACATACAAATTATTTGTGGTACATATTGATCTCTTTGGCATCAGACATTGAACCACTTGCACACATTGCTCTCTTTGGCATCTAGCAAAAAACAAGACAAGTTAAAACATGATAGATACACAACAAGACATATCATACATTACAAAGCAATATCATACAAGACAAGTTACAAAGCTTTAGAGTACATAGACTTAAACTAGAACTTTAAACAATATCATACATGAGACATAATACTAGAACTTACAAAGCAATATCATACATGAGACAAAAAAACTAAAAAGCATCTGATGCTTAGCTTAAAACTTAGGACCAAACTAAAACTTTAAAACTTAGGACCAAACTAAGTAAATGTCCGAAAGAGGCTCAGTTCTTGAATGTAGACTTTCAAGCATCTGATACTTGCTTTGCTTCTCTTTGCGATCCTAATCCTTCTCCTTTAGTTCCCACAAATTCTGAAAATGTTCCACAGACTGGCCTGCTTCTCCTTTACCCGTGGCTGGCTTCTTTCCTTCGTTAACAGTGGCTGACTTCCTTCCTTTCGCTTTGGCTGCCTTCACACCAGGAGGTCGAGTCATGACTGAATCATCTTCAACATTGATAGGCTGGGAACTTGCATTACCATCCCCACACTTCCTTCTTTTAGCATTATCCTTTCCTCCCCGAGTAGTTTGATCACACCATTTCTGATCAAACTTTAACTCTCTCCATGCATGATCTAAAGTGAAATTCTTCTTGGTATCATTGTAGTAGATCTCGTGAGCCAGCTTCATAACATCATCCTCTGACTGACCACTAGTTTTATGAGTTGTTGCTGTCTTATGACAACCCACAAACTTGGTGACAATTTTATTGACCTTTGCCTACCTTTGTTTACATTGAGCATGCTCTCTCTTTGGCATTCCGTCGAGGGAAGGACTAGCAGCAACATATGCTGCAATCCTCTTCCAAAAGGATTGACCTTGTTGGTCATTACCAATCACAGGATCCTTGCTTGTATTAAGCCAAGCACTGACGAGAACAATATCTTCTTTTGCTGTCCATTTCTTTCGTGATATACTTTGCTTTGGTTTGACATCTGATGCTTCATTTCCTTCTTCTTCACTTCCTTCTTCAGACAGTTGAGTACTAAATGTTGGGACTTCAGTTGATCCACTTGCAAACTGAGACATGTCTTCTTGTTGACTTTGCAATAGGTTCATGAAACCCGATGAGTGATAAAATGGATTCATATCATCCATTTTTTAGATAAGAAAGTGAAAGTGATTGTGTTTTGTGTTAGGCTAAAGGTTAAAGGAAGTGAAAGTGATTGTGTTAAAGGAAGTGATTGTGTTTTGTGTTTTCAAGCGTGATTATGTTTTAAAGAAGAAGACTGAAACTTATTGAAGTATTAGCAATGAATGCCAAGGTAAAGACACTAATTGTCTTTACCTACAATACTCCAACTAGAAAGCATTTATTTCAAAGAACAAAGAAAACATTTACAAAAGCAAAAACTGTCCTAATCAAACACAAACCAAGCATTAATCACATTGCACAAACCAGTAATTAAATGAAACAACCACTTTGAACTGTACCTTGATTTAGAGGCTGTTAAATCATGCCTTCTCCACTTGTGAGAAAAGACTCAACCACTTCATTTAACCTCACCTAAACTGAACCAAAAAATGAATCAAGAAAAGCTAAATAAAGTTGAACTACAACCAACTTAAACTGAACCAAAAAATGAATCAAGAAAAGATACCTCCAGCTGTGTAGCTGCCTCCTTGTATTGCCTTTTTGATGTCATCACCTGAAGCTGTTCAACCGCAGAGACTGCCATAACATTGCAGCGAGTGTCATTAATGAGCATATGAATGGTGTACTTATTAGTCAAGTTTAACTAAGTTCATGGCATACATTTGGTTACTACATAAAGAATAAAATAAATTCACTAACAGGCTAACCAGCAACATCATGTTACATGTTTGAGTTTGATGTTGCCTAATGCCTACCTTGGAACCCCTATTTTATTTCAATACTCTTGGCTATCATTCTGATTTCAGGATAGCTTGACCAGAGTAAAATATTGATAACTTACCTAACATTGTGAGGCGACTAAGGGCAGTGACCGCCGTGGTTATGTTCTTCTTTGCAAAATCTAACCTTTTAATATCGCGGCATATATTTTGAACCATTGCTTCAGTCAGCTCAGCTTTGGATTCTATCTCTTGTATCTTATGAGAGAGTTCCTGTGTTCAAATGGCAGACTGATAAAAGAAACAAAAGAAGAAAATGACATCTTGACAATACAAATCAACCTATGAGAGACTAACCTCAGCAGCACATGTAGCATAAGTAAGATTTTCTTTAGCTCTAGTTCCCGAGCTACCCTGGGGAAATCATTACCAAACCAAGAATTAGTTTCAGAGACATATATCAATATTTCAACATAACAACAACAAATCAAGAACAAAGAACAATTAATAGAACAACTTTTGTAAAGCTAAATCATAGCTCAGAGAAATGTTCACCATAAATTCAAAAAGCAAAGCTAACCTGTTGACGAACAGCAGCTAAAATGGTAGCATCAACTCGCCGAATCTCATTATGAATCTTCAGCATAAAAGGCTCAACGCCAGATAGAGAAGCTTCTGTGGACGAACAAAATCAATTTAAAACTCACATTTGCAGAAATTATCAGACAATTCACTAAATCAATACGCCTCCATGAATTTAATATACTGCTTTGATAACTTCAATTTTCAACTAAGGAGCCAAAATCTCAAATGAATCAATCACAAAATTCCAATCTAATCACAAAAACCCAGCCAAATCGAGAACCAAAAGCTAGATCTAGAGATTATACCATGTTAGGGTTGAATTCCTTCGTCTTCTGAAGCTTCTTCAGCTCCACCTTAAGTTTCTCCTGCTCAGCGTCTCTCGTCTCTAGCTCCTCCTCCTTCTTTCTCAGAATCTCGTCTTTCTCCTTAAGCAACTCCTCCGTCTTCTCCTTCTCGATCTTCATCTTCTCCAACATAGTCTGCATCTCCATCAGATCTTGCTCAAAAGACTTCGCTGACTTCCCCTTGGCGGAGATAGGCGATGATGGCGTCTCGCAAAGAAAAAGAGACAAGAGTCGGAAATGAAATCGAGTTTCGATACTTTGCTTTTTTTTTTACCCCTTTTTTTTTTTGATCAAAACAATCGACGGTTCAGAATAAGCCACGTCATCGTCTCTCTTATCACTCAAGATTTCTCTCATGAGAGCTGTTTCTCTCAAAATAAATCCTTTCTGATTTTTTTTTTTTTCACAATTTGATGAGAGAGCCTCTCATGAAAGCTCAATTTTCTCCCCATTGGAGATGGCCTTAGTATGAAAGGAAAACTTTCTTCGAGAAAATTCTTTAATCATTAATATCCACATATCTGTGAGATCGGTCTTAAAACGTTGAAAATAAAAACTATGTAAGAAAAACAAAGAAAAGAGTCGATGAGAATCGGTGAAGTTGGATAAGTGAAGCATTTATCAAAAAAGAAAACCTCAATTTTTTTTTTTTTCATCCAAAATTAATTAAAATTCAAAAGAGTCATTCCTGAGGAATGTTGTTTACATATGTGATATGTTGCGGTTCTGTACGAACTTTTCGTACCAGATTATCCGCATTTACATTAGCGCTACGAGAAATTAAAGATAAAGAAAAGGTAGAGAATTCTTCCTTGTCACTTTGAAATTCCTCCAAATACACTGAAAACGCCGGCCATTCGGTTGGAGAAGACACCATCTTCACCAGGTCATAACAGTCTGTAAAGAACGCTACCTCTTGATTATCTGCACCAATCATGCACTTCATCGCCCAGAGAAGGGCCTCGGCTTCTGTATGTAGGGGAGATAGACTTCTACGGAGGTTGACAGCTCCCATGGTTGGCGGTTCTCCACTTGATGATGTAAAGAACCATCCTATACCGGAGAACTTATCACTTCCTTTCATGATCCATCCACAAAACAACGGTACCCCGAATAAGTCGAATCAAGTGAAGCATCCCTCACTCGAGATCGAGTTACCAAATCCACAGAACCCTGATTTTCGTTAATAAGCTCGATTTGAGCTGCATGCCACAATTGTGCCTCTTTTTCCGCTAACCGTAATACCTCTAGTGGATCATTGTCTATATTTTCAAATATTTTCTCATTCCTTGCTTTCCAAATATACCAGATAATCCATGGAAAAACTGAGCAATCAAATTCCGAAGGTATTCTCCAAAATAAATGATCCAAGTTCGCAAAAATAGATTCTGTGGGAAAAAACCCCATACCCGTGGGAATATGTGAAAGCGCCCAAATCTGCCGTGCCGGGTGGCACTGGAAGAGTGTGTGATTAATCGTTTCCTCTAGTGCACCACATCTAGCACAACCTGTATCACAGTCAATTCCTCGTTTCCGCAAATTTTCCGTAACCAGTACACAACCCGTTAAAATTTGCCACAAAAAATGGCGTATCTTAGGTGGACACTGCACTTGCCAAGTATGTGCTTTTAGCGGTTTGATGTCTGGTCCTATAGAAAATATGTTGTTCTCCGTTTTTTCTATCTGTGAAGTATGATATCCCGATTTAACAGTATACTTTCCTGATTTTGTAAAATGCCAACTCATAGTATCTTCCTTAGTTGGCGCACCCACAGGTAGAGCACTTATTATCTCGACATCTTCTGGAGCAAAGGTCGCCTGTAAGAGATCAATATTCCAAAAGTTTGACCGACTATCTATAAGATTGATAACTTTTAAAGATGGATCAACAATGGACTCATTACTTTTTGCTGGTCTCGGGAATTGAGCTCAGGGGTCCTCCCAAACTGAGATGGATGACCCAGATCCGACTCTTTTAATAAGTCCTTTATTAACCAGAGATCTAGCTGAACATATACTCCGCCATCCATATGATGGAGAGTACGATTTTATATTTTCCAAAGGATTGGATTTCCGAAAATACCGCCCTTTAAAAACCTTTGCGAAAAGAGAATCTGGAACCGTAATCAACCGCCATAATTGTTTTGCCAATAAAGCAGAATTAAAATCGTCTACATTTCGAAATCCTAACCCCCCTTCCGATTTACTGTTACACAATTTATTCCATGTCATCCAATGCATACCTCTGGAATCCCCATTCGAACTCCCCCAAAAATTAGCAACCGCACTAGTGAGTTTTGAAGTGATTGTTTTCGGTAGTCTGAAGCATGACATAACATAAGTTGGTAATGCTGCAGCTACCGATTTAATCATCACTTCTTTCCCATCTTTCGATAAAAATTTGGCCGACCATCCGTTAATTCTTGTTTGTAATCTATCTCTAACAAATGAGAAAATTGTTGTCTTGGAACCACCTAAACTCTCCGGCAATCCGAGATAAGAACCCATACCACCGATAGTAGTGATACCCAAGGTAGATTTGATTTCTTCCTTGATGGCATCGTCTACCTTATGCCCAAACTAAATCGATGATTTTAAAAAGTTTATCTGTTGTCCCGAGACCGCTTCATACTTCTTTAAAATCCCCAAAATTACCCCACATTGGTCCTTGTTAGCCTTGCAAAAAAATAACTATCATCCGCAAACAAAAAATGTGAGACCGAAGGACTCGCGTTTGCTACTTTGATACCCGTAATTAATTTTTCCCGTTCTGCTTTCCGAATATTTGCAATTAGCACTTCCGTGCAAAGGATGAATAAATAAGGTGAGAGTGGGTCTCCTTGTCGTAATCCCCTCTCTGGTACTATGAGTCCTCTAGGTTGACCATTAAGGAGAACTATATATTGGACTGTTGTAATACACCACATTATCCAGTTAATCCATTTTTCACAGAATCCCAATTTTCTTAAAACCTTTTCAATGAAAATCCATTCCACCCTATCATAAGCTTTACTCATATCCGTTTTAATAGCCATAAACTTTCCTTTACAGGAGGGGCTAGTTCTCAAACCATGAAACATCTCTTGTGCAATGAGAATATTATCCGAAATCAAACGCCCTTCTACAAAAGCCGATTGTGTTTCCGAAATCAGTGTTGGTAGAACCGTCTTAAGTCTTTGGCAAAGAATCTTCGATATAATTTTATAACCAACATTGCAAAGACTTATAGGCCATAACTCCGTCATCCGTGTTGGTCTTTCCGTTTTTGGAATCAAACAAATATTAGTCGTATTTAACCTTTTATCAAAAATTCCATCCTCTAAAAAAGAGTTGACTATAAAAAGAAGATCTTTTTTAATAGTAACCCAAGCATTTTAAAAAAATAATGCGGTCATACCATCAGGTCCTGGCGATTTTTCCGGATGCATCATAAACAAAGCCGTTCGCACTTCACACTCCGTTGCGGGTGCCGTTAGAAAATTATTAATCTGATCCGTAATAAGACTTTGAACTTCTGACAAGGATTCCTCAAAAGCCTCAGGCTTTGTTGTAATAAACAAGTCCTTAAAATAAGAAACCGCTATATTTTGAATATCTTTATCCTCTGCCGACCTCACTTTGATTATTACGTGTTAGTATTCTCCTCTTCTTTTTTATGGTTGGATTCAGCGGAATAATTGCACACAAGGATTTTGTGATCAATGTTTTGAATCTTTTGATCGGTTAGCTTTTGAAAGGAAATGGGTCTAAACTCTAAAATTACACTACATTTTGTATTTGTAAACTCTAAAATTACTCTAAAATTAATTACACTCTAACATAGTATTGCGATAAAATCTTATTTTATCGAAATTTTTAAAATCTTAAACTAAATAACACCAACTTTTTTTTTGTTGGATGAATCATGGATCGTAACCAAAACTAATTCTCAATGTTTGTAGAAATCTAAAAAAAAATTTGCCACTTAAAATGATTACAGTGATTAAATGGAATAATGAGTTAAAATTCATGATGAAAAGAAGCGTTCTCCAGTTTGCACCAACATGACGAAAGCACTTGGCCATGAACACTTGGTTAATAAGACCAAAATTTAAACAAAAGTAGACTGTTAGGATTTCGTTTCTATTAAAATCTATGATTAAATAACACCCACTAAGATTTTAGAAAATAGTTAATGAAATGATCAAATTGGTCTAAAACATTAAGTCGTAAGTGACAGGAAAAAATAAACTAAAATAGATAAAGGAAATTGTGGAGTTGGACAAGTGAAATTCTATAAGTTGCCAATTTGGTGAAGCATCGAAATAAGAGTTCACTTCAAGCTTTTGAAAGTTTTACGTGTTAGTATTCTCTTCATCTTTTTTTCATGAATAAAAACAGTTAGGTTCGAGGCACCAAGCTTCTCAAATTTTGCCATAAACAGTCAGATTCATTGGAATTAATTGCACAAAAGGATGTTGTGATTTGTGAATCATTTGTTGATGATAACTCAGAATGCATTTTTCTTGCCAATAAGCCATAACCAACCCAAATAAATTCCTACAACTGCTCCTCCTAATATAAAAACCACCAGCAAATTCCCTAATGCATTCTTCTCCGGACCCTTCACAAAATACAAAATCAGATTAAATATGCAGGTAGGGGTTGATTGTTTATAACTGTGTTTGTATTTATAAGTAAAAAAAAAACTTGTGTTATATTTTGAAATTGTAAAAGCAAAGGGTATAGTATGCCACAATTTTTTTTTTTTGTAAAATGAATGCGTTTTGTTTTCTATATATAAATCTATAATAATACTAAAATGTAAGTTTATAGATATAATCAATTTATTCTGGTTAAAAGTAGGAAGAGTAGATAGATTACCGTGTATCCTTTAGGAGCTATAGTCATAATGCAAACAGTGAGATGTCCAGTAGTTATTCCCAAAATAGAAACGAGCATAATCATCCATCCTTTATCACCATATTTTGCAGTGAAGTAGAATGCGGGAACGAGAAAATAACGTGATAAAACCGCTATCGTTAGTGCTGTTCTATTCTCAACCTTCAACCAATTCAGCAGCGGTGCGTACCTCCCGACCAAATCCCAAAAATTGTATGTCGCTACTAGGATAAGTGCATACCAATCGCCTAGTCCGTGTTGTCCCGTGTTTTCGTATAAGAATCCAGGAAAAATGGATAATGTCAAAACGTAGATGAGGAATAGATTCACTGCATGGTCTATATTTTGAAGCAACAGCTCTTTCTTGCTTAGCCTTTGATTCTTCGAATTATCATCACTCTGCATAGAAAACTCATGAAGCTAAATAATGTTTAAGACTTAAGAGTGGGAAAAGTTTTAGAATCAAGAAAGATACTCTTGACGAATTTTTTAAAGAAACCAAGAAAGGAAAGATTCTTGAGGAATCTGATGTTACCAAATCTGATTGATTTTGGATACCAGCAGCAGCAAGATCAGCAACAACAGTTTTGGATCCTTCAGAAGCCGCTTTTCTTCGGTAATACTTAACGATGGGGAGTTTCGGGAACACATAAGCATATAACATCACGCAGAGGAATTCTATGAATGTTGAGATAGCTAAGAACATCACTGTAACAGGGAAAAACATAAACAAAGCAAGAAATGAAACTTTAAACACTTTGAAAATATTCGATTATAGATTAAGATGTTAAACTCACTTGCTCCTTTTCGTAAACGGTTGTTTGATTTCTCAAAGGCAGCTTTAGTTATTAGTCTAAGTACTGAGGTTAGAGCACCAGCCATACCCGAACCAGCTATATATGACTACAAAGAAGCAAGAAGTTTTAACTAAGCTGACTTATCTAAACCAGAGACCTTGAAATGTGCTAAACATGATAAACCTGGATAAGTTCAGGGCACATCAAAGATAAATCACCGACCAATCCTCCTTTAACGGTAGCATCCGCGAGGCCAAAAGAAGCAACAATTGTGCATAAAACAATATAATGTCCGATTCCACCGTGTCCTTTTGTTGTCAAATCCAACTGATTTTGAGTTTTTTAGAGTCTTAATTCCATAATCAAAATCCAGTTCCATAAGAAAGATTAAATTTGAGATTAAAAACTTAAATTGATACTTACGACTATGAGCAAGAATGTGGATATTGTGAATAGGATGTAACCGGTCAGGATGCGTTTTCGAGTACTGATTTTCGATTCGTGGTATGCGAGAATCATGATTGTTCCAAGCGCGATTGGTTGGTATACAAGTGTGAGTACCCTTGAAGGATGATAATCCTACAAGAAACATATTTTTCAACTTTGAAAAAAAAATTGATAACTAAACAAAAGATCAGATTTTAAAAACCAATTTCAAATCTGAGAATTGACCCAACCAAAATCGAAACCGAACCGGGAAAACTTGGTAGTAGTAATCTGCGATAGTGAGCATACTGTTCCAAGAAACGAGAGACCCGATTCCAAGAATACAACAAACAACCATTGCTTGATACTTCCCCTGTTTTTTTAATTCATACATACACAAACAAGAACTTGATGAAAAACGATTGAAAGATTTCTGACCTTTGTTTTGGGTTTTGTGGATACTTACCTCAAGATTTTCAAGAGCTTGGTTCTCGTATCCATCAGACATTTTTCAAATAGTTATATATAGAGAGAGCTTAAAAGAACGTATACCCTGTTTCAAGATTCAAGAATTGGATCAAACACAAGATGATGTTCTGTTCTTTTTTTTTTTTTGTTAGAGCAAAATGCTACAGATACTTACTTGGAACTTAGCACATGAGGATTTTAAAGAGTCAACGTGTTTGTTGAATTTATTACTTGCAAAACTTTCATGTAGAATCAGAACAAGATTCTTACAACATGGAGATGATTGAGTGAAATAATTATAGATTTTTAAGGTTTGACAGCAAATTTGAGTTGATAAAATAAGATTCAAAAGGTTGGCATACCCGGTCTGATCTTCGTTTGGCACCTTTTCTTTTATTTCCATTATGTAATCGTCCGTTTACGTCAATTTAATACATAAAGAAAAAAGTTTGAGGGGACTCGAAAGAAAAAGTTAAAAGTTTAAAAACTTTAGTTTCTTCTATATATGGTCGACTAGAATTCTAGAAACAGTGTAATCCGAAAGTAAGCCAGGCTTTTCCCGGTGAAATGAGAAAGTTCTTGGGAAAATGGCCAATGCATGCATTAAGTCATCCCTTACGATACATATAGACGAACTAATAAGCTTTGCAAAAATTGATATATTTACCAAATTAATTTAAGTATGATTAGTATAAATATATTAGCAACTCTTCTTCTTTATCATTTCATGATGATATCAATTTAAGTAGGATTAGTATAAATATGCTTGGAATCTTCTTTTCTTTACTTTTCCTAGAACTAACTAAATAAAGTTCTAATGAGCTACTATCAATCTTCTTTATTTACATAATCTATCTAAGAGCTTGAATTCCAACATGTTTTGGATTCTCCCACACACTCATTTGCCACCATGATAGGGCTGGAATCGCCGGAATTAATTGCATAAAGGGATATTATGACGGATTTTAGATCAGTCTAGTTTTGAAACAACATGTTGTTAAGGTTTGGTTCAAATTAAGCCAGCTATTATTGATATTTCAAATGTCTGAACTCGGTTCAATTTGTCATCCAAATCTTTTATATATCCTATATATAAAAGATGAAGGACACCTACATGGCTATTAAGTAACTTGTGACTTCAGTAGGGCCGTGTCTTCTATGCCAATCTTTGTAAAAAAGGTTTAACCTAAAACACGTACTTAAACAGATATAATAATTATTCCTGATGTAAAGTTGTTGACCAAAAAAAAATGTATTCCTGATGTGAATGATTCTATAATCGTATCATGTTATCCTGATTCTACACCTAGAAGATTAAACAGGCAATTAGTGGGTCTTCACGAAATGTTCTATTCATTTTTTTCATAGTGCAAATAAATTGTGTCGGTGACATCCACTACAAAAAAGAAGGTTTTATAACGTCCTTTATTTCGAAGGCTAAGTGGCTAACGTCAGTTTTTAACCGACTTAAATATAATGACGTCGCTTTTCAAAGTGACGTATCTTCGTTTGCCGTAAAAGTACAATTTCTTGCCCACGGCTACAAAGGTCTCGGAGACGCAAAGCAACGAAGGAATCATATCAGTTTCTCAATATTTTGGATTTTATGAGTTAGATTTTTGTATAACCTTTTGAAGATTGTATATGTTTACTTGTGAATTTGCATCAAAAAAGCAAGAAAAAGGGTTTGATTAGTAAACCTCTTATCGCAGCTGTAGAAAATGTACTACTTTAATGGTTACCAATTACGAAAGGATATCTTAATTAGCTTGCGTCTCACTAGATCAGCAGAAACAAATGATCAGTGATCATGGCAGGTCGCAGTTACCTTCAGATTCTATTCTTGGAAACATCATCAGTCTGCATACTAAGAGTGAAGGAGTCTTTAAAAAAGAATAGAATCTGAAGGTCAAAGGAAACAGAAAATGGTGAAGGTTTTTGAAAGAATATGTTAATATAACCAAAATAAGGGACAGATTCTTGAGGAATCTGAACTTACCAAATCTGATTGGTTTTGGATACCAGCAGCAGCAAGATCGGCATAAACAGTTTTGGATCCTTCAGAAGCCGCTTTTCTTCGGTAATATTTAACAATTGGAAGTTTCGGGAACACATATGCGTATAGCAGAACACATAGAAACTCTATCAATGTAGAGATAGCTAAAAAGATCACTGCAGGAATAAATAAAAAGTAAGTAAGACATGAAGTTTTCAACACTTGTAAGTTTAAGCTATAAGTTCTCAGATTTGAGATCTTCAAAAAATGTTAAACTCACTTGCTCCTTTTCTTAGACCGTCATGTGTTTTCTCGAAAGCTGCTTTAGTTATTAGCCTAAATGCTGATGTTAGAGCACCAGCCACAGCCAAACCGGCTACAAATGACTACAAAGAAGCAAGAAGTTATATATACTATACAAGCCGGTTAATCTAAACCGATATCTTAATTTTGTATAATTTATAAACCTGGATGAGTTCAGGGCACATCAACGATAAGTCTCCGATCATTCCTCCTCGTACAGAAGCATCCGCGAAGCCAAACCAAGCAACTATTGCACATAAAACAATATAAGGTCCGATCCTACCGTGTCCTTTTGTTCTCAAATCCAACTGTTTGAGTTATAGAATAAGAATCCAGTCTCCAAAAAGAAATAGTAATAATAAAAAATAAAAAATTGTGAGATTTGACTTGAACTTACAATGATGAGCAAGAATATGGATATTGTGAATAGAATGTAACCGATCAGGTTACGTTTTCGAGTATTGATTTTTGCTTCATGGTATGCGAAAATAACGATTGTTCCAATCGCAAATGGTTGGTATACGAATGTGAGTACTCTTGAAGGATGGTAATCCTATGACATTCAAGTTTTCAACTTTAATTTTTATATAACCAAAACCAAACAATTTATATTCTGAGAAGCATGTGAACCAAACCGGGAAAACTTGGTAGTAGTAATCTCCGACACTGAGCAGACTGTTCCAAGAAACGAGAGATCCGATTCCAAGAATACAACAAACAACCATTGCTTGATACTTCCCCTGTTTTTTTTAAAAAAAAAATTTAGGCATAAACAAACAAGAACTTGAGGAAAAACGATGAAAGAGTTTCTGATCTGAGTTTTAAGTTTTGTGGATACTTACCTGAAGATTCTCAAGAGCTTGATTCTCGCAACTATCCACCATTGTTACTCTTCTCAAATAGTTACGATGTTTGTTTTCGGATGAATGTGAGATTACTCACTTGGAAACTTAGTATATGATCTTGAAGTATCAAGGTGTATTTGTGGATTTATGATCTTGAAGAATAAACACGTTTTTTGATTCTTGATTCTAATGCAAAGCTTCAAGGTTGACGTAGTAGAATGTTAGAATAAGACTCAATTATATCGTGTTAAATGCTACAATGTTAAAATAAGACTCACAAGTCACAATTGTTAAATTGTTTATCAAATAAAAAGTCACAAGTGTTAAATCGTCACATTGTTTTGTTTTTGATCAATAAATTGTCAGCATATTTGTTTATTTAGAGTTTTTTTTTTCCTAAAATCCCTTGAACTTATTGACAATTGGTTGAGTTGGAGAATTGTCAATTCACATTAAACAAAGGGAAGTCTGAAAGCTTTGAGTTTCTATTTCTGGTCGTCTGGAATTAATTTTGTATGAAAACAAAAACGTTCCTGATAAAATTTATTACTGTTATAACCACATACCTACTATTTGGTACACACTGTATATGAAATAGTGGTTTTGCTTGGGTATTTAATATACGCTTTTACGAATAGGTACTTGAATAATATCAACATTTTAAAGAATCTTGTATACATATATTTGATTAATTTTTTTTTTTAGTTACAGATTTAAACTTTATAATATCCTAGTATTAAAGCCCGTCTTGTGTGCGGTAAATTTTTTTAATTATGTGAATACGTTTTGAGTATAACTATAAGGTCCCGATCCATACTCTACAATTGTGGACATATAAGGTCTTCGAACTTAGGTTATTTTAAGAATTTTTTAGAGTCCATCCAAATCTTTTGTGTCGTTTTCAGGTCATTAAAAGCTACGATGTGACCGTTGCATCAAAGACGGAGTTCAAGAAGTGGAAACGCCTCAAGCGATTAATCTGACTGGTGATCAATTGTCGGCCATGATGATGTGCTCGACCCAATATGTCCTCAAAAGACTTGGATATATTCAATATGCCCTATGGATCGATCCCCTTCGTGACATGGTCGAGCCCAACCTTTTAGAATTTAGGATAGACTAGTTTAGGACGTAGTTTAGGACATCCTCGTTATAGACCAGTTTGATTTTTGCGGTGAATAAACAGCAACAACAAAAAAAACGAAATTTAATCTTTAATTATATGAATCATTGATGCTCATAATTTAGCTCTTTTTTCGTGGTCAAGAGTTTTATTCAGAACTCAAAAGACATTCTTCTTACCAATAAGCCATAACCAATCCAAGGCAACTCCCGCAAATACTCCGCCTAAAAGAAACGTTACCAGTAAATTCCCTAACGCATTCTGCTCCGGACCCTTCACCAAAAACCCAAGTTTTTTTTTTGCAAAATTAGAACAAATGTGAGATTGATTGTCTTTAAATATTGAAGCATTGTGTTGTTTGCAATAAAAATCACACACAAAATTTTATTGTTAACATTGATTTTAATTTTTTTCCCGATTGCATTTACATTTACCATTATATATTAAGGTACTGTTTATTTTAGAGAAAAAAATAAAAAATCAAATCCACAATCTCTATTTAGGAAAAGGTTAAAATAGAGTACCTTGTAGCCTTTAGGAGCTCTGGTGAGAATGCAAACACTGAGATGTCCATTAGTCAATCCCAAAATAGAAATGAGCATAATCATCCATCCTTGATCACCATATTTCGCAGTGAAGTAGAACGCCGGAATGAGGAAAAACCGCAACAAAACCGCAACTGTAAGTCCTTTTCTATTCTCAATCTTGAGCCATTTCACCAGCGGTGTGTACCTTCCGACCAAATCCCAACAATTGTACATTGCTACGAGGACAAGTGCGTACCATGTTCCTAGTCCGTGTTGTCCCGTGTTCTCATATAAGAACCCGGGAACAATAGATAAGGTCAAAACGTAGAGGAGGAATAGATTCACTGCATAGTCTATGTTTTGACGCAAAAGCTCTTTGTTGCTTAGTCTTTGATTCTTGGAATCATCATCAGTCTGCATAGAAGAGAGAGAAAATCTAGAAGCTTAAAAATATTTAAGAGTGGCATATAATCTTTAAAAAGAATCATGTAATGAAATTTTAAAGGAAAAAAACGATGAGGAGAATATTCACGAAGATCATCTTATAAAAAATTATGAGTTTTCAACTTAAAACTAATTGGATTTGTTAAAAGTTAAAACTAGTTGGATTTGAGTGGAGAGGTTCACATTCTTTATATACTAGTGTTAAATCATCTCGATATAAGATATTTTTACACACCCACTCAAGATGATGGGTTTGTTGGCTTATAATTATCTTGGGCCAATTCCACGTTTTCGGCTTTGTTTGAGTTTACTGGGCTGAGGGCTCTATTACCATGTGAAGAATTATATATAGTATTCCAAGTCAAAATCAATTGTTAATGAAGTGTTGAATCATGATGTTCTACCACATATGTTAAAGAAAAATATAGGTATGTGATTATACGAGAATTTGGGTGTAAGTGTTACCGATTCTGATTGCTTTTGAATACCAGCAGCAACAAGATCCGCTAAAACGGTCTTGGATCCTTCAGAAGCGGCTTTACTTCGGTAGTACTTAACGGTGGGAAGTTTCGGAAACACATAAGCGTATAAAATCACACATAGTAACTCTATGAATGTTGCGATTGCTAAGAAAATAACTGCTTAAAGATAGGAAAAAAAAGAGGCAAGAAATGAACAACACTTGGAAGCCATCAATTTTTGGATTTGAGATCTTTAAAAAAAAAAAAAAGAATAACTCACTTGCTCGTTTCCGTAGACCGTCATGTGATTTTTCGAATGCTGCTTTAGTTATTAGCCTAATTGCTGATGTCAGAGCACCAGCTATAGCCAAACCGGCCATGAATGACTAGAGAGAAGCAAGAAGATATATAATCTAAACCGGTTTATCCAAACCGGAGAAACTAAACCGAGATCTCTTATTTGTAAAATGTATAAAACCTGGATGAGTTCAGGGCACATCAGCGATAAGTCTCCAATCATTCCTCCTCGTACAGTAGCATCCGCTAGTCCAAACAAAGCAACAATTGCGCATAAACCAATGTACGATACAATCCCACCGTGTCCTTTTGTTGCCAAATCCAACTGTTTCAAGTTTTTTGAGTCAATAATTAGAATTCGGTTTCTGAAGATTTATATAAGACTAGACTTGGACATACCACGATAAGCAAGAATGTTGATAGTGTGGATTATGGATAGCATGTAACCGATCATGTTACGTTTTCATGTATTAATTTTTGATTCGCGGTACGAAAATCATGATTGTTCCAAGCGCAAATGGTTGGTATACCACAGTGAGTACCCTCGAAGGATGGTAATCCTATATATGGAGCCAAGAAACATAGAGAATTCAACATTCGTTTTTTATAACAAAAACATTAAACTTCGAAAACCAAAACGAAACCTAACCGGAAAAACGTGGTAGTAATAATCTTCAATTGTGAGCATACTATTCCAAGAAATGACAGTTCCGACTCCAAGAATACAGCAAACAACCATTGCTTGATACTTACCCTGTTTATTTATTTTTTATTTATTAATAAACAAGAAATTGAGGAAATAAATTGGAAGAAGTTTAGATCTGAGTTCTGGTTTTGTGAAACACTAAACCTGAAACTTTTCATGATGAGCTTGCTTCTCGTACCTATCCACCATTGTTACTCTTCTCAAAGAGTTACAGAGAATTCATAATGACATTACAAGATTAGTGAACTGGATATATAGAACACGATATGTTACGACAAATTTAATATCGAGCAAAACATGCAACTACTTACTTGAAACTTAGCAATGAGATTTCGGAGAGTCAACGTGTTGGTTGATATATTTAATTTGTGCCCAAAGCTTTGAAGTTTGATAAATTTGTTACAATCTTAGAATAAGACTTAGAAGTGTTAGAATGTTAGAATAAGACTCAGAATAATTAGAATGCTATTTAAGACTCAGAAGTGTTAGAATGTCACGTCTTTAATAAGATGGTTATTGTACTTACAATTCCTTTTAGAAGAAAAGACAAAAAGAACGAAAGCATGTATAAGTTCCCATTTTTTGGTCGCTTAGATTGGACGACAAATGTTGTAGGTGTTATAATCGGATATGAGAAAACAATACAGAAACACAAATAACACAACAAATTTAATTATGTATTTCATTAATTAAGTGTTTATACGTCTACAAGTAAAACTTTTAATGGAGATAAAGTTTCATAATACAATGAGAAAATATATAAACTTCAGTTCAATCCTAAACCTATTTGATCTATGAGCCTATGTTCAAATAGAGAACCTAAGTTGAAAATACCATTGAATGGAGGGCGTCTCCGTGCCCTCCCCCATTCTCAAGTTTGAAGGCGAATCTCGTCATCTTGAATTTGCGAGTGTGAGTGTAGGTTTAAATAGAGAACCTAAATTGAGACATCGTCCCATAAAAGATTACTCCATATGGTCGGGTTAGAGGGTCTCAGCCAGTCAGCCTCCTCCCCGGACCTTCAAGTTCTCATAAATTTTATTTTTGAAAAAAATGCTAAGACTTTCAAATAAGCTGCGTCATAATTTGCTTATATGTTTATCATAGTACAAGTCTACAAGATATAATAGATTTTTTTTTTTTTTTTGTCGGCCAAACGTTTTCATTAATATAAACAGAGTACAAGCATTACAACACATACACTTAGTAGTCCCAAGAGATAGTAAAAGGTGAATTTTGACATCTAGCTGTTTTAGCAAGAAGATCCGCAACAGTATTGTCACTTCTGCGAATAAACTTAAAAGTATATGAACTTTGAGAAAAGGCAGCAATATCATCTAGCTGCGCCTGAATTTCCGCATAACCAGGAACCGGATGAGACATCTTCTTTGCTTTTTCCATCTGGCAGTAGAGGGTAATTGAGTCACCACAGAATGTAACATCGTTATAATTGAGGCGTCGCAAGTGATAAAGAGCTTCTTTAAGTGCTATAGCTTCTGCTTCCAAAACAGAGTTAACAGGATCAATAGCAGAGAACCCTCTGAGTACTCTACTTCCTTGTGGATTATACAGAACCCATCCAATACCAGCTTTTGAATTTGGATCAGTCCAGGAAGCATCTGCACAACACACAAAGGATGAGGTCTGCTGCATTATTTCTTGAAGTGCAGCAGCTTTTGGCTTTCCATGGTGCGAATGAGATATACTAGAAACGGGCTGGGAAGCTTTCCACAAATGAAAATCCATCAAAGCAAGATTAATAATTTCTGGGATAGCCCAGCGTTTGTTGTTAAACAACAACTCATTCCTTGCCTTCCATAATCTCTCCATCCAATGAAAGGAAATACATGCTCTTTGAATAAAGTCTGGTCTTTGAATGTCAAGAGATATTGCATGCATAATATCATAAACTGAATCTTTGCCCTCAAACTGACCTGATTCAATTTGAAGTGGTGATAGCTCCCAGGTTTCTTTTGCGAAACGGCAATGAAAGAGGAGATGGAGGACAGTCTCCTTAGCGTCACCACAGAATGCACACTCAGGCATGACTTTAATCCGCCTGCGAGCATAATTTTCAGCCACTGGGAGAGCATTATGAAGGACTTTCCACCAGAAATAAAATATTTCTGGTGCCACAGATGCTTCCATAAAGCATTCATTGTGGAAGTAGCTATTTGATGCTCAGTACCTGGCTTTATTAATTGGTGATAGCCTGATTTAACAGTGTATTGCCCATCCTTTGTGAAAATCCATGTAAGGCGGCTATCTGGTGTTTTGATGAGCCTTAAGCGTGTTTTCTTGATGAGTGGGATATCCTCTGGATGAACTCTTTCCTGAAGCTTAGCGTCATCCCACATAGCTGCATTAGGCTAACATATTATAAATCTTTTTCGTCATAATATATAAAACAAAACCTTACTAGACTGCGACATCATGAAAAATTATCCTATTTTCATTGGTCAATTCCTTGTTTGCGTTATTATTTAATCGACCTAAAACGTCATCCAAATTTAAATTGCAATCAAACTACCGAGACATTATTTTTGTTTAACAATAAAACTACAGTGACTTCAAATTAGTTTTAGCGGAAATAATGTTTAGTACTAATAAAATTTGATCGCCTGTCGTAATAACCAACTCAGCTCAATGTCATATGCGAAGAACTGCTGATTATATTTTTTTTCTTCTGTTAAATATAGTAAAGTAAGGAATTTTGTTTTCATTCTCTAGTTTTTTTGTGCCGACGTGAGGAACCTTGTGGAAATTAAAAGGATATATTATTACGTACAGTTTTTAATTATACTTATCTTAAAATCATTAAATCACAATATATATTATATCTTTGATGGAGTCAAATGTATATGGTTAATGATTAGGAGCATCTAACTTCTGGCTGATAGCTATTTGACGGCTGCGATGCGTCTGTCATATAAAATGGAATAACGGCCAGTAGTTCTCTCACAGACCGCTATTATTTGGATCAAACTAGCATTTCATTAAAAATATAGAAGTTTAATTTCCATAAAAGAAAGAGACATCAACTTCACAAGGAACCGAAACAACCAACACAACGATTACCAAAGTAATCGCGTAAGAGAGAAAACTAAAACTAGCAACAAAACTCAAATAGAGATTTAGGGATAAGGCCATCACGAGTTCACCTAAGCAGAATCTAAACAAAGATCATCGATAAAGTAGCCATCTTCAAATCGGTAGTCCTTGCCGAAACCACAAAAAAAAAAAAAAAGACACGTCTATAAAACCAAACAATCAATAATTGCTGGACGTGAAATGTCTTAGCTTGACCAACAATCATCCCTTTTCGCTTTGATTATTGCTTTGTTTGCAACATTCATGATTACAAATCTTCCATTGTAATCAACTATAACGTTTTATGAGGATGGATTCAGTCGACTCTTAGGAGGGTGTACAGAATGATGAATTTAGAGTGATTTGAATTTTATTGAGTTTTGAGATGATTTTGGTGAATTAGGAAATTTGTTACTATTAAAATTCTCTTTGTATTTTTGTATTTTTAACTCATAAATTCTATAAAATCTCACCGAAAGTCACTCAAGTGATTTCAAATCTACTATTTAAAATATGTCCAATAACACTGGATTTGATTGTACATTTTAAAATCAATAATCCTATAACACTTAATTTGAGCAAACTTTTTGAAATTCATGTTTGAATAGTATAAGATTTGTCATTTTAAATCAAATCACTCCAAATCTTTTATTCAATACACCGCCTCTTACACTCTTAAAATTTTTGCCTAATTAAACCTTTAACTACAACATTGATTATTTGAATCGTTTAGTTATTCCTATGCAATGCTCACGATTACGGATTTTCCATTTTAATCAAATAATGTATCGCCTAATGACGCTGGATTTAGTCGATATACATACTCTCAATTTAGTTGATCTTTTTGGTAATTTTGTTTAGGTAAGATTTTTTCTTTCCAATAAATGAAATTCGAGAAGAATTAGTGTATATTTTATCTGTATCTCATTTAAGCAAAATTACCATTGAAGCAAATCGGTAATATTCTGGTTAATAAATGACACTAATGAGTGGTAAAGATTCAAACGGTTAAACCCGGTTAACTACACGAGAAATAAATCATGCTGTGATAATGCGGTCCATGACAGTCACGTATCTCTAACATATCCTCTTCCCGAACATTCACCTTTAATAATTTATATGGTCGTTGTAATCGAATCAAACACAAAAATCCCCAAATTACCAAAATCCTCGGCGACAAAGAGGAGAGAGAGAGAGAGAAAATAATGGCTTCGATCCTTCCGCCGGAGCTGGACAACGACTCACTGGCGTCATCGCCGAGATCGGAGTACGATAGTCAGCCACGTGTACGGTTCATGTGCACTTTCGGAGGAAGGATCCTGCCTCGTCCGCCGGATAATCAGCTCTGTTACGTCGGCGGTGATAATCGTATGGTCGCTGTTCATCGTCACACTACTTTTGCTTCTCTCCTTAGTAAACTTGCTAAACTCTCCGGTAAGTTAATCATTCCTTTGGTTTCTGGAAAACGGATTCACGTCATGATCTTGTAAAGCGATTAGGGATTTTAGTTAGATAATTTCGAATTATTTAGTAGGAACATTTTGTTAGGCCAACTAGGAAAATTTAGATATGATGAATGATTTTTTTTTTTTTTTTTTAAGATTTTTTGCAGCTTTATTGATATTATGAAATTAATTTCTTTGGAAATTGGACAGATGTTTATTGGCCACAAAAGTCTGGCATATTGCGGGAAAGTATTCATTAAATTTATAAATAAATATGGGTTAAATTAATATGATTTTTATTTTCTTATGATCATTCATTTTTGCACGATCCTGAAATTATCGAATCGGAATATTTGATCCGTTTAAAAGAAAATTGGATTTAGAAGAAGTTATGGCGATCACTATCATATACCATAATTCGAAATTGTATCAAAATCATATGATCTTTTTTGTTTTTTTTGTCAACCATGAATTATTGGTTTATTTAAAAAAAAAAAAAAAAAAAAAAAAAAACATTTTTGCTGTTATTTTTTTTATATTTTGTCAAACTTATTGTTGGAAATTGGGCAGATATTTATTGGCCACAAGATTTTGGAATTTTGCGGGAAAGTATTCATTCAATTTATATAAAAATATTTGATTTGGGAAAAATAA